ACTGAAAGACAGACCTTCAAATTTTTTAAAATCACAACTAGCTAAATGTTGTCTGAACAGATGACTTAAAGTAAAATGACACAGAAACATTTTAAAAAGGAGAAAACACTGGAGAAGGCATATATTAATAAAAAGACAGTATCCAAAGTCCAGTCTTAAAAGCAGCAGATGGGGTCAGTTGTGGTGGTGGTGAATGACTTTAATCCCAGTACTTGGGAGGCAGAGGCAGGTGGATCTCTTGAGTTTGAGGCCAGTCTGGTCTACATATTGAGTCCTGGCCAGCCAGGGCTACATAGTAAGACCCTGTCCTGACAAAACAAAACAGCAGCAAATGGAACACAGAACTGCTGTACTGGCAAAAGGCACACAATATGTGCAAAAGATACAATTATACATTTCTGTTAATAAAGCTTTAAGGAACTGGAGAGATGGCCAGGGGTTAAGAGCTGCTCTTGCGAAGGACCTGGGTTCAAGTCCCAGTACCCGCATGGCAGTTAACAACTGTCAGGAACTCCAGTTCCAAGGGAATCTGGTGCCCTCTTCCAACCTCTGCAGGCATTGCATGACATGGGTGCACTTAAATACATGCATACTAATTTTTAAAAATAATAAAAATATTTTTTAAAAAAAGATTTACTTTTATTTTATGTGTATTAGTGTTTGCCTGCATGGGTGTATATGCACTATGTGTATGTAGCACCCATGGATACCAGAAGAGGGCATTAGATACCCAGGAACTGGAATTATAGAAAGTTGTTAGCTGCTGTGTGGGTGCTGGAAACTGATTCTAGGTCCTCTGCAAGAGCAGCCAGTGCTCTTAACCATTGAGTCATCTCTCCAGGCCCTCCATCTGATTTTTAAGACTAAAAAAAAAAATCTTAGGTCGCCCTCCCACGTGCTGGGATTGAAGGCGTGCGCCACCACGCCCGGCATCAACTGTTACATTTTAAAAGCCTCAAGATGAAAAGAATGGTTCCTCATCCTCTCCCATAACTGCCCTCTGTCAGTCCTGAAGATGCCCTCTGCATCACTTCCCTTCTACCTGAAGAATGTTTGTGATTGTTCAGGCACACTTACAATGGCTGCTTTAAGCTTTCAGATCAGTCATCTATGTCATCTTGTCACTGGGCAGGCTAGCTTTTTCCACAAAGCTGACATTTTCATGGATTTCCACTTGCCGAATAATTTTGGATTCTATTTTCTTTTTGAGACAGGGTCTCCCTGTAGCACTGATATGGAACTCACTATGTAGATCAGACAAGGCTGGCCTTGAACTCACAGAGATCTGCCTGCTTCTTCCTCCCGAGTGCTGGGATTAAAGGCGTGCACCACCACATCTGGCTATGAGGCTTGGATTCTATTTTCAATATATTTTGAATGTCTTGAATCACATGTGAAGTCTTAAATATTTTTTTAACTGTTGTGGTAAATTCTGGTCTTTTTCCTTTAGCAGATGGTCAACATGACCAGGTGTAGCCTGCAAGCTGCAGTCTGCCCTCATGGGCCATGGTTACAAGTTTGTTCAATTTTCAATACTTTTGCAGAACTAATCTATCTGAAACTAATGTGGTCACTTAGTGGCCAGTAAAGAACCTGAGTTTACCTGGTAAACCCATGGGATTTATCCATTAGCTCGGTTCTTAGTTTTATATGCTAATTAAGGAACCATCTGTGCACATACACACGCACACACAGGCTGACAGTGGTCCAAAGAGTCCAGTTCAGTGAGGCTGTATTTCCTAGCTCCTACCCTTTTGTGCCTCCAAAGGGTTCCTTGATTTCCTTGGACTTCCTATTCTGAACCACAAGTCAAAAACCAGCCAGCCAGGGCCATGTGGTAGAGAGCACAAGACAGAAGAAAATCAACAGGTTTGGGATTGGCGCTCCCCTAGGTCTACAGCTCTCCCCACGCAGTGCTTAGCCTGCTGCAGGCCCATTATTTGCTGTTGCCCCACAGATTCTCCTAGGCACTGGTCTCCTCTCTGGAGGCCTGTCTGGTCCAGCAGGCTTTGTCCACTCCAAGGCACAGCTTCAACAGTGCTACCTGAGTGCCTGGACTCTACACCCCTTTTCTCTAGCAAGCAAAGTGCCTGAAGTCACAATCACTCCTGTAAGATGTGAGAAACTGCTCAGGCTAAGGGGCCAAGTTTGGACTTGTATCTTTGGTCTGTCTCCCTCTAATAACTCCCCTAATAGTTTTCCATTATCTTCAGATTTCTACTGCCTTCAAGGGGTGATTTTCACAACATCACACTTTTTGGGTTTTCCTCTGGGAAAGTTAATTCAAATGAATACATCAGCTTCCCAGTTCTTGACCCCTGCCCCACCACCACCTAGAAACTGAATATGAAATGTCTCTAGGGTCACTCAGACCTATTTATGTGTAAATAAAGGGTGAGGGTTTAACTCTGTGTTCTTAGTCCCACACCATGCTATTCCTTGACACAGAGGGTGTCCTTATACCCTATGGCACACTGAAATTCACCTTCACTGTGACAGGGCTTTTCTTGAGCCTGGGAGTTTGTATAACTCCATGAAGATGAGATATGTGAACAGATTCTTCTTTTGATAGTGAGTCTTCCAGATAAGGTTGCTGGCCCCTAGCTTCTCAGGCAAGATTGGGCCCATCCCCCTGACCAGAGTGTACTGTGCTCTAGTGCATGGCTCACTAAGTTTGACTATTAAGGTGACCTGCTCCCACCAGGCCTTTAATTCCAGCACTTTGGAGGCAGAGGCAAGCAGATCTCTATGAGTTCGAGGCCAGCCTGGTCTACATAGTGAGTTCTAGGCCAGCTGAGGCCACAGGAGACCCTGTCTCAAAAAGAAAGAAAAAAAAAAAAAAGATGACCTTCTCCCTATGGTAACAAAGCTCCAAAAATATGATGGAATTCACTGGAAACACATAATAAGGCAGCAAAATGGACTTACAAATATTCCCTGAACGTAGTGTGAAGGAAGCCCAAGTTAGTTAACGAGCAGCTCTTTCCTGCCAAGTGATGAGAAATTAAACTGTTTGTTTAAATGACTATTTTAGCCTCCTACATACCATAAAGATCAAGATTTAACCAACAGTGCTGAAGGGCACCTTTGCAGCCACCTATAGGGAGAGGTGTAGGTTCAGGTACAGATGAATAGCACTGATGGCTGGCTGTGTAAACCACGTAACAACTGAAGTGGCCTTTCCCAGCCCACTCCCCATGCAAAGCAGGACATAGAGAGCATATTCACCACAGGTGTGCTGTAAGGTGACAAGGACGGTTGTTGAGAGTCACTAGGAAGCATTAGGCAGGAAGGACCCAGAGTTCATCAACACACACCTGTGTGACTGGCATCTCAACCTGAGTAGTGAAGATAACACGACCGGCCCAATGTTGCCTTGGATAACAGGGAGGAATGGGAATATTGCCCTGGAGTTTCAGGAAATCCCTTGTACAGCACCAGGCACCCAGAGCACTCTGGAGCAAGGATGCACTGAAGAAGGCCCCAAGTTACCATGAGAGGGGGCCTGGGCTCTGTCTGCTCCTACCTTGATTGGCTTCTGGCTGCAGGGAGCTTAGAGGAAGTGGGGGTGAAGATTCAGAAGTGTCGGCAGCTGGGTGCTCAGCCACTGGACAGATGATAAACCACCTTTTCCCTGTGTGCAGGACTGAGAAACAGAACAGAAAGAGGTGCTGAGGGAGCCAGTGTCTCCAGATCAGAGGACCCCACTGTTATACCAGATCCCATGGGGACCACTAGGAAACTCACTCCACCTATTTCTCCAGAAGGTGTGGGTAGGGGACCCAAGTTCCCACTTAGAATCCTAAATGGCTTCCCTCCACAACTCAGGTGGCCCTCTGGACCCCTTAATGCGGAGGCCTCAGGGAGAGGCTCCTATCTGTTCCTCTCTCCCAGAGGGGTGTGAGTTGGGTAGCTAGCCCAGGGTGCCTCACTGGCAGCTGGAGACTCTCAAGGAAGCCTCGCTAGGGTTCATTTCCTGGCATACCCATGGCATCAGCCTTGAAGGAAGTAATGTCAGTCAGAGGAGGGTGGCAGCTGGGATAGGACAGCCCTTCCTAGCTGAGGGACCCTCTTCATCACTCACTCCTGCAGCCCTTCTGGTATGGTGGCCAAAACTCTGCCACTAGGTTCAATGGGGGACTTCTATCAAATACCTGCTGCAGAGCACAATGGGACTTTGGGGAAATGGTTCTTCCCAGAGGCTGGTTGCTCCACTGGGTGCGGCTGGAGGGGACAGACTCACCGTTCTGCTGGTACACAGGAGCGTTGGCTTGGGACTGTCCATTCTCCTGCACGGGGAAAAGGGATTGGGGATCAGCAGCCATGTTTACCAAGAGCTTCCTTCCTAGCTTCCCATCTGCTGCATCTGCCACTGTATCCTGGGGACCTGGGCTCTCACCTCCCTTGTAGCCATGCCACAGGTGCCCAGGTGTGGAGGGCTGGTCCCTGTGTCAGAGCCGTGGTCAGCGTCTGTGTCCTCACTGAGCATGTCTTCTGCCTTGTCCATAACGTCTTTCATCTGCTCGATGAATGTCTCACGCTCGGCGGGAAGGATGAAGTCATGTTCTACCTGTAAAGAGACACGGGAAAACTGGTAACAACCTGTCACAGACCACAGCTACACCGGGGTTCTAGCAGGGATACGTGCACATCTACCCTGCCCTAAGCCCCAAGGGAAGACATGGTAAAAAGCATGTCCCCTGGTGGGGGCTGCAGAGCCAAGGGAGAAAGCTGATGGCCCCAGAGACAGAAGAATGTGGCTGAGGCTGAAGAACCCATCCCAGGCCACCAGATGGCCCCTGTGGCACCACCCTCTCTGGAGCCAGAGTTAGTTATGGAGTCCCAGATCAGGCCAGTAACCTGCAGGAAAGGCAGGCACAACAGTTCTAGGCCCTGGAGGAGGAGACCTATCTAAGACACAAGCATCAAGCAGGCCATCTTAAGCTGAGAGCTATCCATGAGCCACACCTATCTTTCCCCTGAATTCTTTGCGGTTGACCATCTCGCAAGTCTTCCTCATAGAGATCTGAACCCAGAGCCACACAGTTCTTTCTGCTAAGACAGCTGCTCCAAAGTTGGCCACACTGGGCTCAGCTGACCCAACCCTCCAAGCAGACCTCTGGGTCTCAGCCTTGCTCCTGTCCCATTAAGGAGTGGCACTGTGGTCTTAACATCTAATGTCCTTGGACCTCGGTGCCTAAGCACAGGCTGTCCAGCGTCCACTCATGCTAGCTGTTGTCCTCCTGGCAGGCCAGGGCTGAGTTCAGGCACCTGTCAGTCTACACTGCCCACTGGTTTCTCATGGTCATGGATTCACGTGGAATGACTATCTTTCACCCACCTACCCCACCACCCCCCCTCCCCATTCAGCAGTGGGGGCAACAAGGGAAGCCCAGGCCTGTGTTAGGTGGGGGAGAGTGGCCAGAGGGCCTATACCACCAGCTGGACACCACAGCCTCTGAGCCAGAGCTCACCAGGACACAATCACTATCCTCAGTGCTCCTGTGAGTGACCCTGAGCACTGTGTCTTGGCCACCTCAGGCAGATGGACTACAGTGTGCCTCTCCCTGTATAAAAAGCTCCAGGGAGAGAAGTCAGCTGTCCTCTGGTCCAGTGGTCTCCAATATCTGCCCTTTCTGACTACAGAACTTCTTCCCATCCACACATTTGAAGTTATACACATGCCTGGGCCACGTCTGGGTCAGTCATCCTCCCAGGTCCCGTTGTGGGTGGGTCCATCTGGTCCTATAACAAACTGGCAGAGCTCTTCCAATCACCTAGACAACACCCCCAGAAGCACCACCACACCCCCAAATGAGACTGATGCTGCCCTCCTTAGCTGACCTACTGATTAAATGTGGAACTACCTAAGGGTAGCATGCCATGGCTGTAGTCAAAGCATCCAGGTATTGACATGGGCCGCTGTCACTTATATACTCTTGTGCGCACATATATACTGCTTGGCTAGTAAAGGGTTTGAGATAATTTGGCTTTAAGATGGTTGACTAAATCCCTTCACACAGTATAACACCCAAGTCCCCAAACATGCAGACGTTTACAAAGCTCACAATAAAATAATAACTGCATTACTGGAGCTTGGGGAGGGGGCTGGCAGACACACACACACACACACACACACACACACACACACACACACGTGGGCTGCTAAAAACAAGCAAGTACAAACATAAATGGACACATAGCTCTGTCATGCCATGAGGAGGACGGGGGGGAGGGGAGCTGCAGAAACAGGATCAGTGGGCAGTATGGGAGACAGAGGCTGACAGACTACTTCATGGATGTTCACTTCATTATTATGCTTCGAGGTAACTTAAATCTATAAAGTGCTTGCGTTGAAAGAACAAGAATCTGAAGTCAACCCCCAGAATCTACATAGAAAAAGCATGGTGGCACATGGAATGACACCTGTGGTTGTCCTATGGACACCATATTCACATGCAACTGCACACTCGTGCATCCATGCTCGCTCACATGCATACACTCACAAAAGAATCCATACTACCTTGACCAATTTACAAAAGACATGTTTGTATACATATGCTGTGGTACACTGTCCTCTGAGCGCAACAGCCACCTCCAGTGGAAGAGCAGTTATTATTGCCCACACAAGACTCAATATCATTGGGCATTTGGGAGGGTCATTAGACCTTCACCTGAGATTCTAACCACTCTCCTTCCTACAACACCCACCAACTGTATGTACTCTTGGGAGGTGCTGGTTGAGGCTAGTTAACTGGAGTAGGGCAGGGGATGACTCCATTTCTGTAGCCTTAGGAAGCTGTCACCCATGCTAGGGGGAGACGTTTTGGTGATGTGGCCATCTGAGGGTCACCCATGCTCCTCTAAGTATGCCTTAATATACTCCTTGGTTTGATAAGCTGGAATTGGGTGGAATCTTTCCTTTGGTCTATCATTGATACTCTGTCCTCTCCAGGAAAGTTCATACAACAGCATATAAAGTCACTCAAGACTCATGTTAAAAACATAGAAACATGAAAGAATAGGCATGTGGTCTCACAGTTTGGATAGCAGAGTGAGGAGGTGCTGTGAAAAGCCAGCCAGCCATTGTGGACAACAATCTCCCCCTCACCAAACCATAGCCAGACACCTCTAACACTCTCTTCCACCTGGCTTTGACCTTTGCCTCTTCTGCCTTGGGCCTAACTCAGCCATAGCAAGAATCCTGCTAACCCTGTCAAGAGAGAATCCTCAGCCAACACATCTGATGAAACTCCTTGTCAGTTTTAATGCTGGACCCCTGGCATGCCTCTACAAGGACAGGGTTAAATGGGCCAGGCCATGGGTTTCCCTTCAGCTACAGAGGCTCTGGTGTCACTTCTGTAAGAGTGACAGCTGTAAAGGCACTTTTGAAGGAGGCAGGGCTCATCATAAGTGCACATGTTCCAGAAGGTGAGGGACAGGTAGCCCATGCTGACCATCCTGGACATGAGTGGCCAGAGCATGGGGTCCTAAGGCTCAGTGTTCTCCACAACCTGACCATCCAGCTGGCTTTGGTGCTCTCATGTTTTTCCTTATATTCCAACTGCCAACCCTGAGTCTGCTCCTGGGCTGTAAGCCCCCCATTCAGAGGTGAGTCCATCCTGCTGCCTACTACAACTGTTCTGGCCCATTTTCCTCACCGTGACAGCAGAAGTCAGAACCATTCCTTCTCTCACCCTGACGGAACTGTGCCCTGGGCTTGGGCTCCAGGAATAGCCTGTCTGAGGAATCTCTGAGGAGCAGAGAGCAGGACTCCTCGGAAACCCATATCCAAATTGAATGAAGCCAGGGCCAGGGAGTACAACCCGAGGACCACTTACAACTTCTAGCTGAGCTGCTGATACAGCAGCTCCTAGCCAAATGGGCTAGTCATAGTGCATTAAATTGAATTTCATATTCCATTACTTAGTCACATCAGCCCCACTCACTGCACTTGATGGTCAGCTGGGATGAGGGATCACAGCACTGGCCACTGATGCCAGCTGCTTCCTCAGGACATGGCTTCCTAAGCACATGAACATATGTGACTGAGAGTCTAGGAGGATGTCCCTGTGTGCTGTGGTAACAGATGGGCCAGGGAGTCCTTTCTGCCCATGTCTTTCTGTGCTTTCATTGACAGCACAAGTCCTTTTAAGGCCCAAGTCCCCCCACTTCTGGCGGGGCCACATGCTGGGGACACAGGATTCCTTGGCAACACCGACCTGGGACACAGAGAAACCCATGAGTGAGGTGCCCACAGTGACCTCTGCTCCAGCAGGTAAGGGTGGCTCCAGGTGGAGGCAGAGCTGTGAGGTTAACTGATGGAGAGTGGGCTTCAAACTGCCCTTCTGGAAGTTGAGGAGGGTGACAGTTCTAAGCAGGGACACAGGGCATTAGAGTCTGGTGACGCAGCTTCCCTTTGCTCCTCCAGGTCATCTCACAGGTTTTTCCTTTTCCTCTAAGAGACAGGAGGAGGTGTGGTGAACACATTCCTCAGTCTGTCCTCACAGAGGTGCCTGAGGAAAAACCTACAGAACTCAGAAGCAGGGAGTTGATGCTCTTCCTGTGGACACACAGCTCTGGGGGCTAGCCCCTAGGCTCTGCGCCTGAGCCACGGGCCACCCAATACTTCCATGCAGGGCTAAGCTTAAGGTGCTCACTCCTATGCATGCCTAAGGTCCTCAAGGAGGCAGCCCCCCCCCCAATCCAGCCTCACCATGTATGTGGCAATCTCATCAGGAGCGTCCCCATCCAAGTCAAACTTGAAGGTCACCATCTTGTGGTTATGTGTTTCCAGCTGGCACTCCACCATCTTGTCCCCTGTGTTGCATACCTGTAGGAAGCCATGGTCAGAATGGTCAGATTACAGAGGACATAATGCCCACACACCCACACCACAGTTACTCACATTCAGGATAGTGAGCCGGGGCCGGCTGGCCTTCTCCTGCCGGGAGCGTGCACGCGTGGACCTGCGGTGGTGTTTCCGGGCAGCTCTGCCCTCCAGTCTGCCTCCTCCAAAGGTGCCTTCACAGGTGTCACTCGGTTCCCTTCCAGAAATAACATCGGAACCTCCAAAGCTGAAGGAAAACCCAGAGGGTTAAAGCCCACACAGGAAACCAGCAAATGCACTCTAGTCAGACTGGCCTGGGGGCTTAAAAAACTGCCATGACTGAGGTTGCAACCTGCAGAGATGGTATCCGGGCTGCAAGGGGACACTGGGTCCATTCATCCTCCGATGCCCATCCTGTGCCACTCAGGGATCATAAAGAAGCAGTGACTAGCTTCTCAGTGACCCCTTCTGAGCAAATAGGAAGATGGTAGCTACTCAAGGCTGTTGTGAGGACCATAGGAGAGTCTGCTAAGCTTCCAGCACATGCAGTACCCAGCTTCTTGGAAGGGCAGGACCCATAGCCACTTCCCATACCCACCCTCAGTAAGGTCAGCATCATCAACCAGAGCAGAGGAAGAACCTGAACACCGGGCCCCTGTGGGCACTGCCAACTATGCACGGCCTCTCCCTTCTGCAGTGCCCTCAGCACAAGGACTAATGCCAGGATCTGCAGCCCAGCAGGGGCAGACAACAACCAGGATTCAACGTGCATTGACAAAGACCAAAGAGAAAGTCCCTGAGGCTCTCCTAGGTCAATTTGGAAAGAGGGCAATGGTTTAAAATCCAAATGGGGTCCGTACCGGGCAGGCTGGAGTGGGGCCTGGTGGGTGGTGGGGGGGGTCCAACGGGCATTCTGGCAAACTGGGGCAGGAACTGAGTGCAACTGCCAAGGAGCACTGGGCTAAGCTAAGTTGGTTCCGAGGCTTGTGCTACACCTCCCCCACCCCAGGCCCTCCATCCTGAAATCTCCAAGGTCAAAGGAGAGTGAGGGATACCTCTCACAGCTCTGTAGGAGGCCAGGTGGTTTGTCTTGTGAGGCCTTTTCCTAAAATAAGAACCAGAGTAAAGAAAAGGGTTACAGTTTTGCTGACCCCCTTCCCTGCAGGGAGCCCAGCAACAGCATGCAGCCACCCTCCCACCTCCTTTGCAGCTCTGTCCACACAGGGGCCCAGAAGGGTTTAGGGTTATCTTGAAAGGTCTGGAGACCGACCAACAGGATTCCTGAAAGCCAGGGCTGCTTCCTTCCCCAAAATGTTAACCCACTTTGATCATCCCCCAAAGAGAACACATTGGATCTGTGAAGGCCCTGGGCAAGGTGCGCACCCTCTTTGAGGGGAATGGCCTCCAAACATACTACTGAAACACATGCTCTCCCTCTAGATTAGTGCAGAGTAAGCAGCAACTGCAGCTTGGAGGCCTGTGAGCCTCCCTTACCTCTAGAGCTAAGACCCCGGGTGGCCCTGAGCAGGGGACAAGGGCACACACCTCCTGGGCTGTTTCCACCATCAGTTGGACAGCAGGGCAGGGGCTGGCGATTGTGGACCCAGCAATTGCAGGCCCCGTGGGAAGAGGTGGGTTTGCTGGTGGCAGGAGCGTGGAAGTCTGGGTGGGCACACTCTGAGGAGCCGTGGCCACTGAGGGGGCTAGGGAGCTGGGGAGCTTGGGAAGGAGCTCAGGGGCAGCAGGCAGCAGTGTGTCTGACAGAGGTGGGGAGAGGACAGCAGGCGGCAGGGACACAGCAGAGACCGGAGCAGCAACATCCACAGTATATGGAGGAGGGTGGCCCAGCAGGACCTGGTGGCACAGGGACAGGAATGCAGTGGCAAGAGCTGTGCTGGGGCATATCAGTAAGCACACAGGTGTGGGAGGCCAAGGAAATGCCCTCCCCGGTCCACCTGTCCCCCCAAGGCAGTCCTCATCTCAGCATATCTGAGACATGGATTTAGCAGAAATAAACAGATATGAGCTTCCTCACACGCTTGTGTGTAGGACTCTGGGTGGGAATACATAAATCTATAGACCTAGGCTTCCTCCTAGGAACTTCGGGCTAAGCCTAAGTGAGAAACGGGCATCACACACTTAGTATCAAAGCTGGGCTCTGGCTATCTCTCTGAGGTATCTATGTCCTGCCTGTCTGGCCTTCCACTTAGTTCAGAGCATGGGGTAGCTGTTCTCAGTCACAGGTGCACCCGGGGAAGGCTCAGTGACACTGTGACCTCGCAAGGTGACGAGGAATTCTGACTGGCTTCCCCAGTATCTTTCTAATACCTCTTTGGAAGCAGAAAGAAAGATGGGGGGTTAGAGGGGTCTAGAGATTCCTGTGAAAGAACCTGCTGTCTGCTGCCCTGGGTAGGGTTAAAAGCTGGGAATGCAGTGTTACTCTCTGCCTCTCAGAAAAGGGAACAGTGGCACTCACTTGGGTCTAGATTTGTTTAGAGACACCTCTCTCAGATGTCTCAACTGCTTCAGATGGGGTGCCTGTGGGGTGGCTGGCCCAGCTTATCAAAAAACTTCTAGAAGCTAATGTAATTTTAAAAAATTTTTTTAAGGAGGCTAGCAAGATGACTCAGGAAGTAAAGGAACTTGCCTAATGGCCTGAGCTCAGTCCCTGGAACTCCCATAGTAGGAGGGAACCAACTCCTGCAAGTTGTCCTCTGACCTCTACCCGTGCACTGTGGCAAGCATAAGTGCACCCAAAATTAAAAAAAAAAAAAAAATAGAGCTGGAGAGATGGTTCAGTGGTTAAGAACATGTACTGCTCTTGCAGAGGACTTGGTTCTCAGCACCCTTGTCAGGTAGCTCACACTGCCTGTAACTCCAGCTCCAGGATGATCTGATGCTTCTGCCCTTCACAGGTACCTGCATTCATATGTACATACACAACACACATGCACACACGCACACGCACACACACACACAAAACTTAAAAATTAATTTTTTTCCAGGCATGGTACAGTATATGCCTTTAATCCCAGTACTTGAGAAGAGGAGGCAGGCAGATTTCTGTGAGTTCAAGGTCAGTCTGGACTAAATAGGGAGTTCCAGGCCAGTCAGGCCTACATAGTAAGACTCTGTCTCACAAACAAACAAATTCCCTCATTTGGGTTTGAACAGACTAGTCCAGAAGCTCCAAACATGAATGTCCTATGTAGGCATGTGAAACCACATGGCAGGCCTCCTACTATGATTCATGTCCCTGTGCTCCAAGGGATTCCTGGCACACTGTTTGGATCCTCACCTGACATAGAACAGTTCCCTAATCTACCATAATCATCTTCTAGCCAGTGGTCCATCAGCACCTAGACCCTCATCACTCTCAGTCCTGTTTCCTCTCTATGCAGATGGCAGTGTTCACTCTTGACTTGCTCTGACAAGGTGTTCTGGGAAGGATTAACTCAGGGTACATGCAAGTACTGATACCCACAGAGGAGCCAACACAGGCCAACAGGACTGGTGTGAGAGCAAAGGAGCTCTCAACCACAAAGCAGAAGCTGCTGACCTCCAGGTGGGGTAGAACCATGGACCCTCTCAGCCATCCTGATGCTCACAGCTCCTGATGTGGATGCCCCACACTGGCTCCAACCACTGGCTCCAACCTCTGCCTCCAACACACTCTTCACAAGAAAGGTCAATCACAGGATAGGGCTACCTCCCTGCCTACCCCTACCAGTCCTAGAGCCCAGGTGTTGACCAGGACCATCATCCAATGAAGGCAACTTCTCAAGAATCCCTTGAACCTGGTCCTGACAATTTCTAGGCACTGGGTGGCAACCCATATTCCTCAGGTGGATTACCTGGGTCCCTGAGGCAGCAGCTGGAGCAGCCTGTTCAGGCAAGTGGACGACACTGGGCTGGACCGGCTGAGGAGGCACGGGTGAGGCCAGCTGTGGAGGGGTGGCCCGTAAGCTTTGCACCGTGTGGTGGGGGGAGGGTGGGATATCTCCAGGTGCCATCTGTGGAAAGGCTGCTGGGTACACAGGCTGGGCCGGGAGCTGGGCTGGGATCTGGGCTGGGATCTGAGCTGGGAGCTGGGTTGGGAGCTGGGTTGGGAGCTGGGCCACTGCTGGGTGGATGGACAGTGCAGCCACGCCCTGTGGGGCCACAGCCAGCAGAGGGATGGCAGCTGGTGCATTTGGCACGATGGTCTGGCAGGGCACAGCCAGGGGTGCTCCAGTGGGATGGGGCAGTTTGACTGCCTGCAGAGGCAGGGCTGGAGATGAGGGCAGGGGTGCTGTGAGGCTTGGCAAGATCACAGCAGGCGAGAAATACTGAGGTGGTGGCACAGGGGCCACGTTTGCAGGTGGCAAGTCAGTGAGGGCCTGAGGAAGGCCATCAAGTCCCGCCAAGGGAGTGATGGGGGGAACCACAGGCATTGGAGGCATCTGAAAGAGACCCAGTGGCATGTTAGTAGGGTCCCCAACCAGGGGGCTGCACAGTCAGTGGGAAGTGTGATTGGGCCTCCCAGACAGCTGCTACTGTCAAAGGGATCCCAAGTAAGCCATCATAAAGCATTATGAAACTTATTCAAGGAGAAAATTAGACTTGCCTGCTGGACACCCCCTTGGCACCAGCCTTTGTGTCCAAATCCCTAATGGGCCATGTGGGCAGCTCCAAGGGAGTCAGGAGTGGCTCAGATATGAGGAGTCAGAGTACCACAGGCTCTGAAGGTGCAGAGCATTTTCATTTGGAAAGACTGAGACTGTCAGAGCTACCCAGCTGGACCTGGTCACCTGGAATCTCATCATTCCCACCCTATGAACTACATGGAAGCTAACTCCTCAGAGGGTTTCAGTATAGACTACTTTGATAGATGAGGCAATATCTCTGTGGCATACAGCCTCCCAAGAGTAGAAAGTCCAGAGTCTTCTGCTTGAGTTTTCTCAGTGATAGCTGGTATCTAACCTTATGGGTAGAGCATGTCAGTCTCTGACAACTATGCCTAAGCAGTGTTTGCTCGAGCTGGCTCATGAACACCACTTTAGATGTACCTCTGTGCAATTATGAAGGAGCGAAAATGTACAAATCCACTGCTGTGCATGTAGCAAGCAGCTAAATACCACTAGTAGTGACAGCAAGATGGTTTCACGAGACCCCAAGGCCAGCTTTAACATAGTATCACAAAGACACAGCATGGTCAGCAGGCAGCATTGACACAATCTTCTTGGGAGTTCCATAGGTAATCATCCCTGAATCCAGCAGGAACCACCATCTTCAGAATGAGGCCTACTTCCTGTCCTAACTCTGAGCTCGCAACCCAGCCCCATCACCAGAGTATCTAAAATGGCCACTTTCATGGATGCAATTTGCCTGAGCAATCGGGCTCAACCCTGACTAGGCTCTGGATCAGTCATACTGCCAGCTGTTACCATATGTTACCATAGCCCCACAGAACGATGTAAGAGGCCATTCTGCTACTCAAGTGGCCTCTGTGACCAGTTTTCCTGCAGCAAGCAGGAGGCCCACCTGGCTCATGGACCTCCAAGGAGCTGCCTTCAGCCAACCTCACACACCTGTGCAAGAAATTCATTTGAAACAAGCAATCTACTCTCTGTGCCCACTCAGTGGCCATAGGGAGAGTCCTGTTCTTGGTTTGGACTAACCCTTGTTCCCATCCTGGACAGGTATGTACTAGATGATGGGTGACAGCTACCTCTCTCCCTCCTTGAGGGACTCCATCTGACATTCATATCCCAGAAATATTTCAACCTGGGAGATAGCTTGCCAAAGAAGGTGAAGCCAGAGAGCCACCAGCCAAGAGAGGTTGTCCCTGGGACTCCCACCCATTCTGTTAGTTACTAGATTAGTATGCATAATGCATGAGGCACGCTATGCATGGATTATGACACCACACTGCTAAGTCTACCTCCCTAGCCATCAGTCCCAAGTCACATGAAAGAACAGGTTCAGCCAGTGCCCTGGTACCCCACCCCAGGTGAGCAGGCTATGGGCCAGAGGTACCTGTGCAGGGACTTGAGCAAGGGGCTGCAAGGGTGGCTGCGGCATCTGGAGGGCCTTCAGCTGAGCAGGGGCCACAACCTGGGAGGTTGGAGCCAGGTATGGAGGCAGATGAGGGGGTACTGACTGGACAGTCCCCATGGGCTGTGGGGCCAGGACCTGAGGTATGGTCGGCGGTTGGGCGATGGGAGGAGGCTGGAGGGAGAGAAAGAGGGCTTGTGCTCAGATGTTACAGAAATCCACAGTGACTGTTCCATATACACATGCTCATGCCCACACTCAAACTCACTTGTATACATACTCCCACAGACAAATGCACACTCAAACTCACAGTCACATCACTTGCATAAATACACCTACACAATTTCAAGACTGCATATTTTCACACACAATAGTCACATATACACAGTGAAATATATTGACAACATACATCCACACAATACTCATACACATACACACACCCATACCCACCCAAGCTCTTGTCAGACTGAAGCCAGCTTGCAGAAACATTCTGAATAAGCACAGTTTTTTCATGTGCAGGCCCTGGGTTACAAACTACAGATCTGAAAACACACATACAAATCCACACACTTGTATACACTCCATCCTTTATCTAAACTATAGGCCTTGGTTGCAGAGCTGCCCCCCCCCACAACCCTGGGGCTATAAGGAAGTGTCATACTCACCTTCTGGGCTGGGGGTGCTGGCTGGCCTGGACCTGTGGGCATAGGGGCGCTGGGTGGTGGCAGCACAGGAGTGAAGCTCATGGAAGGTTCTGGGAAATGCTGCTGGAGGAGTGGAGGGCGGACAGGGGGCGGCACAGTCCCCACTGACAGGCCAGGCTGTGGAGAGTGTCCAGGCTACACTCAGTGGCTGCTCTTGGCCCTTCTCATCCCTGTGCCCAGCCCCCACCAGAAACCCTGTTCTCAAGAAGGTGACTCAGCAGAAGCCAGTTGAGTTAGCCCTACAGTGCCATCAACAATACTAAAACACTATGGGTTGACCACAGCTCCTAGCCAGGGAATGTTCTAGAACATAAGCCCTGTGAAGTATTATGCAATGATGAGAAAAGATCATCAAAGAGATTGTTCAGAGCCGTGATGAAGGACTCCTTCAGACACAGGCTGGGGGTAGCTTATCATAAAGATGATTCAGAATATAGAGGATGAATCCATACGGGTAATTCAGACTATAGAGCGATAAGAACATAACAGTTTGTGGCTGCTGGGGAAGGTACCAGGCCACAAGGGCATGGGGAACAAAATTAGCACAGTGAAGCCCTTGACAAAGAGGGGTCCTCTGAGACTAGCCATAAGGAGACAAAAATGGGGCCACACACAGGACACCAGTCCACACAACCAGCAGTTGCCTAAATGGGGAAGGTGGCAGAATGGGAAGCCAGCTCACCAATGCTGACACCATTAAGGAAACATTGCTAATTTGTTAATATTCCAGTGCAGTCCTGTTACTGTGTTTTGTTCTCTAAGCACTGTCATTATGCACAGTTGTAAAGCCTGTAATATTTATGGGGAAAGCTCTGGCTGTTTGGGATTTACTTAACAACTGGGATGCTGGCAGTGCGAGGCTGCAAGGAAATGTGTCTAAACATAAGTTCACAGGTCTAAGTGGAAGTGGTTGACATCACACTGCTCTCCAGGTTGCAGTGGATGGCACAGGGGCAGGGCCTCCCAAAATGCACTCTTGCTTCCCCTTTCCTGGTGCTTTATGCAAGGCTGTGGGAGAAAGGTGAGACAAGGAACCCTGACCCCAAGTCTACAGCTGTGACCTCTCTGCTCAGCCTCTTGATTTACATGTGGATGATGAGATCTGCTGGATCAACAGGGAAATACAGGGCAGAATGGGCCTGGTGGGGACCAGGGTAGTCAGTACATCTCATGGCCCAGGGTAGCCCTAACCTGCATTAGAAGGTATGAAAACTATACAGAAGTTTCTAGCTCAGCCCCAGCTGAGGCAACCTCATAAGAACAACTCTCTGGAGCAGCAAGTCACCTCTTCTTAAGTGAGGCCTTTGGCTATTTAAAAATCAAACTTCACTTCATTCTGTGAAATGAGTAAAACTGCAAATGTGCATACTGCAGTGAGTCCTGGGGCTTAGAGGAACAGAGGCAGACACAGTCCACAGCTTCAACTGCTTTTCTAAAGGGCCTGTTGGGCCTTTCCAACCTTGGAGCCTGACATGGACACGGGGAGGAGGGGCTATTCTCAGTGCAAACAGCCTGTGTGTGCAGGGAACAGAGACTATAGCACCAGCTCTCAGCCACTTTCAAGGTGGTTTCAAGAAGTCACCACAGCAGCCAAAGTGAGTGTGTGAGTGTGTGTGTGTGTATGAGAGAGAGAGAGAGAGAGAGAGAGAGAGAGACAGAGAGACAGAGAGAGAGAGAGACAGAGA